ATAGTAAGTGCCATCTACGATAAACCCATAGCTAGCATATTGCTAAATGAACAGAAACTGGAAACATTTCTCCTGAAAACTGGAACAAGACAAGGCTGCCAACTCTCACCCCTCTTGTTCAATATTGTGTTGGAAGTCCTAGCCAGGGCAATTAGACAAGAGAAGGAAATCAGGGGTATCCAAATAGGAAAAGAGGTAATTAAATTATCCCTCTTCGCTGATGATATGATTCTATACCTTGAAAATCCAAGAGAATCTGTCAAAAAACTTGCTTGCACTGATAAAGGACTTTGGCAATGTCTCAGGGTACAAAATAAATCTGAAAAAGACAGCTGCATTCTTATACACCACCACCAAGTAGGTGGAGAACCAAATAAAAAGTACAATTCCATTCACAATAGCCACAAAAAAGTTTAAATACCTTGGATCTTCCTAACCACAGAAGTGAAAGACCTTTACAATGAGAACTATAAAACCTGCTCAAAGAAATCCAAGAAGACACAAACAAAATGGAAAAATATTCCATGCTCATGGATAGGAAGAATTAACATTGTTAAGATGTCAATCCTACCAAAGGCAATCTACATATTCAACGCAATATCCATTAAATTATCAACATCATTCTTCTCAGACCTAGAAATGACAAGACAGAAATTCACATGGATACATAGTCGACCACAAATAGCCAAAACAATCCTTAGCAAAAGAAACAAAGCAGGAGGTATCACACTTCCAGACTTCAAATTTACTATAAGGCTACAATAATGAAAACAGCCTGGTATTAGTACAAGAGTAGGCATACAGACCAATGGAACAGGATAGAGATTCTGGAAGCAAAATCTCAATTTCTCAACCAACTCATCTATGACAAAGCCTCCACCAACACCACTAGGGAGAGGAGAACCTATTCAGTAAATGAGGCTGGGAAAACTGTCTGATCACATGCAGAAGACCAAAACAGGACCCCTACCTATCACTATACACAAAAACTAACTCTAAATGGATCAAAGACCTAAATGTAAAACCTCAAGCTATAAGAATCTTAGAAAACGCAGGAGACACCCTTATGGAAATTGGAACTGGCAACCAATTCCTGACCAAAACCCTAAGTGCCCATACCATAAGAATTAAGTTAGACAAGTGGTATCTCATCAAACTGACAGGCTTCTACAAAGTAAAAGAAACTGTCAAGAGAGCAGGTAGACAGCCCACAGAATGGGAAAAAATATTTGTTAACTGTATATCTGACAAAGGCCTAACATCTAGGATCTACAAGGAATCAAACATGCCGAAAAGAAAAAATCAAACAGCCCCATTAAAAAGTGGGCAAAAGACATGAATAGACTCTCCTCAAAAGAAGATATACAGGCAGCCAACAAACACAGGATAAAGTGCTCAGCCTCACTCATCATCAGAGAAATGCAAACCAAAACCACACTGAGGTACCACCTAACCCCAGCAAGAATGGCCATCATTAATAAAACAAACAACAGATGCTGGTGAGGATGCAGAGAAAAAGGAGCGCTTTTACACTGCTGGTGGGAATGCAAACTAGTGCAACCTCTTTGGAAGACAGTGTGGCAATTTCTGAAAGAACTAGAAATTGACCTTCCATATGACCCAGCAATTCCCCTATTGGGAATATACCCAGAGGAACACAAATCATTCTACAAAAAGATACCTGAACACACACGTTTGTTGCAGCTCTATTCACAATAGCAAAAACATGGAATGAACCATGTTTCCCATCGAAGCTGGACTGGATAAAAAAATGTGGTAAATATACAGCCATATTATGAAATATTATGCAGCCATAAAGAAGGACAAACATATGGACTTTACAGCAACTTGGATGGATTTACAGTCTATCATAGTCAGTGCTCTAACACAGAAACAAAGAACAGAGTACCATATGTGACCTTGAACAATTATCATAATACTCTAAGAAAGGAATTGGCAGTTATGGGAAACTGCCGGTGGAGGTGAGATTGGCAGTTGATGGAAACTCCCAGGGAGGGAAGGGCATACCTCACCAACAAGGGTACCTGCATAATGAACATTTATATATCTAACCCTAAATTGTACTCATTTTTTAAATAAATAAATATTTCATCATTGTGCAAACATCTAGAGTGCACTTACACAAACCTAGATCTTATAACCTACTACAAACCTAGGCTATATGGTGTAGCCCATTGCTCCTAGGCTACAAACCTGTACAGCATGTAAATGTATTGACTATGGTAAGCAATTGTAACACATTAGATATGTGTGTACCTAAATATATAAAAGATATAGTAAAAAATATGGTATTCAAATCTTATGGTACCACCATTGTATACGTGGTCTGTTGTTGACCAAAATGTCATTATGCGGTGCAGTATGACTATATTTGTAGAATGATTAAACAGAAAGGGACTATTTCCCTTAACAGAAATAAGCTGTCATTCCCTAAAAGATTATGCCTGCTTACATTAGTGGTTGGATCCATGCTTTATTCCAGGTCTCCTCTCTTAGATAGATTTGTGAGACTCACAAAGCTGTTTCCAATGACATCTGTGGAGCCCCAGCTAACCTCTCCAACTAGAACTTCTTAAAGTTTTCTTGGATAGTGCAGGCCTTATTTTTTTTTTTTTTTTTTTGAGTTGGAGTCTCACTCTGTCCCCCAGACTGGAGTGCAGTGGCCGCTCCCGGCCACCGCAGCCTCACCTGCTGGACTCGGCGATCCTTCCGCCTCAGCCTTCCGAGTAGCCGGAATTACAGGCATGCGCTACCACGCCCGGCTGATTTTTTGATTTATTGTAGAAATGAGGTCTCGCTGCCCAGGCGGGTCTCGAACCTGCGGGCTCAGGCAATCCACTCACCTCAGCCTCCCAAAGGCACGGGATTACAGGCTGAGCCACCGAGCCCGGCCTTGCAGGCCTTATTTTATCTGGAGTTAGTAAACTGAACTACATGACCCAAGAACCCTTATCGGCTTCAGGTTTTGATAATAAAAGGAGATCTTTGTAACTCTTGACTAAGCTTATTATTCCATCAACAATGTTTTATCAGAAACCCTGTATATTTTACTAAACTCTTAAACACCTCCATTTTCCCCCATGTAAGGCACTCTCCTCAATCAGTTTCAATCCCCCATATGTGTAGCTTGAAATGACACAATCATTATCATTTACTGACCTTAAATAACACATGACATTAGCAGTATCAATTATCACATTATCTGTAATAATGTATCTCTTTGAAGAATCTTACTTTCAATAAGTTAAAATTACACATGAATAGTCAAAGTACTTTACTTGTCCACTACAGTCAAAACCTCACTCAATATAGCATTCCACAAATTCATACAAAGATCCCAATACAGCCTGATGAAGTATGCCACCCAATGGAGGTTCTATTGAACTGCACAAAAAAATCTGTACATAAATTAGCATTTGTGATCCCCTTAAGGTTACCAAAACCACCGAGTTACAAAAGAAACTTGGAAAAAAAAATTCATAGTATGGAAAGGCAATGACAACTGATACTCCAGTGGCAATGGTGATATATGAGCATCTCCAGGACATCAAGGTAGAGAGGTAACAGTGTGTTTCAACAACACTTAACATTTACTGTGTACCTCTTCCAACCTACAACAGGAATTGGAAAAAGTATGGATGGAAACAGGGCAGAATTAGGTTCAAGCTTCTGAGACTAAGGCTGGACTGTATTTCTTACCACTTTGCTAACAAAATTCAATCTTAAAGATTGCTCCTTCAATATAACTCAGATTCAATTATTACTTATTGAGTACCTACTGCTGTTCTAGATGCTTTCATACAAACTCTCATTTAACTCTCTTTTCAAGTTCTATTCGTTTTGCTCCTAAAAGCTTACTTCCTTTTGAGACTTTTTGCTCATATTCAGGGAATCGTGGAGTTCTTTCAATATCTATGAAGCATAATTGTGGAAAAAAATCACCGAATAGGGCACTTGCACACCTGTAGAGATATTTATCTAAATGAGAGGCTGAAAAGACAAACCTAAGAAGCAAGAAACAGGGAAAGAATCAGAAACATAGTGGTGGAGGGGAACAAACCAGGAGTCATTTTGCCCTATTATGTATTCCAGCGACTATCCTACAGTTTGCTAAGAAGATATTCACACTGAAAAGGGTCATTGAAAATTTACATCTCACTATGTAATAGTCACATTATTGATGAATATAGACATATATACTATTAGAGATAATTCTGTGCTTGCTCTGTTGCTTGGTCCTGTAAGAATGAGATGCACAGCAGAGAGGACAAAGCAAGCAGTCATAATTAGCAGTACTGAGTTCAGTCCCATGGCAGTATAAGGGCAGTTGTATCTTTCAGTCCTTCTGGTATTTAAGAAAAAGAATATATTCAAGAAAAAGTATATTCTTAATTGTTATTAAGACAAAAAATAACACTGATGAATGATAGAAGATGAACAAGTACAGCTCAAAACTAAACTACTCTAATAATTTACTCTAGGAAACAATAAACAATAAGGCGTACCTCGTGGCACAAATTTCTAACAGTTATTTTAAAGTATCAGTCAACATGGAGCCAACGTGCAAGATTTATGAGGTCCCAGAGAATTCAACATCCATAAACTTAAACTTAAGAAAGGGAATAATGCTTATTCATGTAACATTACCCTATATATACCGTATTTTATGCTTTTCAAACAGTTAGGTCCATTATTTCACTTGCACAAGTCCCAATATAATATGAATACATGATACATAAAAAGTATATCAGAAAATGACCACCTCAAAAAATACATAGATTTGAAAATGCAGTTGTAATGTTGAAAAACTAGGGGTACATACAACATACATTTCTATCAACCCCAAACTGTATTTCTGTTTCTCAATTCCATGCTAGGCCTTAGGGAAAATATAAACATGGTAAAACATAACAACTTACTCTGCAGGAAAACAGACCCTGGGGCTTACTATTGACAAGAGATTATTATTTTTTAGTCACCTGGAAAACTGAAAAACACTGGAATCCAGAGGCTTAAGTTGAAGAGGTGATCTGTTTTCTTCTTCAACAGATGGAAGCATGCTAGGGTTATCAATCTCCTCATATCCAGTAGTTTTGTTATTCAATCCAGCCATATCTTGAACAGTTGGGATCTTTGGTGGACTACAGGATACCTAGAAAAGAAATAAATTATTTCTAAAAATCCTAAATTCAGACCAAATGTCAAAGGATGAGTCAATCCTTTTGATGCTAGGAAAGAATGCTTGGCCAAATAAAAAGAAACTGTTTCCTACACAAAACAAACAGCGCGCAGCAGTAATGTACACTAGAACACTGAGCCCAGGCACATTCAGTTATCAACCTTATCAGCTGGACACCAAACAGACCTCCCCCAACTCATTTATTGGCTCCTAAAGTTATCCCACCCCCAACATAAACCCAAGTACCCTAATCACTGTCTACTTTTCTCTTGTGCCCCCGTTTAAGGCTGAGTTTTCACTCCTCTGAGATCTGTGATGAGGGTAGGGATGGAGGAAAAAAGCATTGCAGCAAATGTCTGTGCCAGTTTTGGAGAAATGCATGCGAGAGACTAATATATATTCATAGTACACACACACAGAGACATGCATCTGGATCTTGTGGAAGAGCCAGCTTATGAAAATAGTATGAATGATTAAGGCGAAGGGAGGTAAACTGAATGAGGACAGGGCCATACTAGGAAATCTCCCAACCTCTACATCAGACTATTAGGCCAAGACATTAGGGTATGAAACCTGATTATTCATATGCCTGGGCCTTGGCAGGATATCAGAAGAATAATTAGTATTAAATTGCCTCTATCCTCACCAGTCTGACCTGCCCTAACTGAGTGGGTGGAAGGTGAATCTAACATGCGACTAGCAGATCTCTCTGGGAAAGAGGGTCAAGAGGGAAATCATGCAGAAAGGCAAGGTTGGGTGGGGAAGATATATGGGTGCTATGGTGGCTGTCAGGAAAGGAGTGTCCCTGGAAGGACGGCCAACCTTATTGCACCCTTCAGCGTCCGGAGCTGGGCAACCATGTCCGAGAGACAGTGCTCCTGAAAATTCAAAACAGCAGAGTCTTTATAAAGCCAGCCAGCCTGAAAGCAGGGATCAGGGAGGGGCACAAAGAACCACCCTTTCTTCCCAAGAGGAATGAAGAAGAAATCACCCCTGAATCCTGAAAGAAAAGCGACAGGAAAACCAGACACCCAACAGGAGAAGCCTGTATGAGGATGAAACACAACCCTGAATATTCTGTGACAATGAATGTGGTATCCACACTGTCCAGAGTCAGTACTGAATCCAAATGTGAAAAATAAATGATTTGACTCTTCTATTTTTGGTGATCTTAACATCAGTAACAGAAGATCAAAGCAAAACCAAAATATCCAATTGGAAAAAAGACCACCAGAAAAAAATAGTTTATTATTTCTATGCAGCTTTCAAAATTGTTTTCGTCAGCCTATATCCTCTGTTGGGGAAAATTTTATATGAGAAAAGGAAAGTTGTGCCCTGTCTCTTACCTGGTGGTTCTCATTTTCCATAGGCAAATTCTTCTTCTCAATAGTTTGATCTCTAGGAGAAGATAAAAGTGCTATTTAGTTTACTCATGAAAATTCTCAGTTTGAAGTGAATTCCCAATTGTAGATTTAGGTTATTATGTTTTCTCCAAAGTAGAAATACTGTGAGCCTCACTAAGTAACTAAGAGTGCCTTCCTGAACTATGCTACCATAGTGAGATTTCAAATGTCCTACCAAAGAGAGAGAAGGGCGGGGGGGGGGAGAGGGAGAGGGAGAGAATGAATCACTAGTTGAGACATTCAGGAAGTGGTTGGAAAGAATAAAAAATTGGGAGAGCAGTGAGGTGAGAAGGGAAATAAATCATTAAGAACTCCCTTCCCATCAAAAAAATTTTCTCTACTCAAAACTCCCCTTTCCTATTAGGAAGGGTCAAGCTCCTCTACTCTATGATAAAGAATACTCAACTGTTTCTTAGCTCTGCTCAAGTGCAGGTCTTCATCAATGAGTTCTTGTTCCTCTGGAACAGAGCATCTCCTGCAGTATAGGGAAGAAATCATCCTTTGGAAGCAATATGTCACTTTTACCCTTTACTTTTTTTACAACTATGTCAGGGCAGGTTAATAACCCTCCAACATCATAGCATTCAGAGTCCACCCAAATCACAAGACCTTGATACATGTCAAACATGAGGAAGAGAATTTGAGTAAAAACTGAAAGAAGTACTAGAAAATTATTCAATAGTCAAAAGTAATCCTAGAAACAAAAAACAATTAATAATAATTGGAAACTACATTATACCCATTTTATAAGGGGGTAAACTGGCCTGGAAGGTTATGGCTCCTGAACTAAGAGATAAAGTTTTCAAAAATTAGACTTCTAAGTACTCAGTTCCATATTCAAATCACACAATCCCATTACTCTCTGTGGAAAAGGTACTTAGGCATATCTGGAGACTGTAAGGGAATGCTTATACATTACAGATCCAGATTTTGTTTAATTTACTCCATTTTAGACATTCTTTCCTTAAAAATCATACTCATTTTAACACCTTTTTCTAAAATAGATTTTTAAAAAGTCACAGCAGAATTGAAGCAAACTGACTTATTATTATGAACCTATGTGTGACTACTGAGTTAAATTTTTTTAAAAACTGTTAAACTGAACTGAATGTCCACAGACATGCTAGACACTATCTACATGTTGGACACTGCAAGAAACGTATGGTATATCAGGAAGACAAACACATTAACAGCATTGAATCTAAAATAGGTACCATTGTATAACATCGATACAGTATATGAGGTATATGAAGAAAATCATTAAATTGGCCTGGAATATGAAGCTCTTATTCTCGAAGAGTTTATAATCTCTTGAAGGGCCAAAGCATACACATATGAAAAACATCCAAACACTTCAAAACGATATGTGAATAAATGTCAAGAATTAAATACCATAGGAAGTCAGAGTAACATCACTGTAAACTATGGTCAACAGGAAAAGAGTCACACAAAAGACTTAAGATCCCCAGAGGGATATGATTTGGATAGGCAGATGGCATGCAGAAGGTCACTGCAAGCAAGAGGAATGACACTATCAAAGTCATGGAGGGGAGAGTGAGCACAGCATATGTGAGGAATAGTGGAGTCATAGACCTGGCTCAAGTATAGGGTTTGTATTAAGGTACAATGAAATATAAGATAAGGTGGGGTCAGTTAACACAGAGGCTTCAGGGCCAGGCTTAAGGGTGTGGAGTTGAAATGAAAAATGTTTTAGAATTTACTAGTTATCTCAGGTATAATACTGAGACCTGGAACCTTACCTGTACTTTGGATGAGAATTATAATAACAAAACCATCTTGTAGGCAATGTAGATGGATCAACCTTGCCAGGAAGCTTCCTCCATTTAAGACACTCATCACACTGTACCCATGTCTGATCAGGAATCTTCCTGAATGAAGAAAAACATAAGTGTGACTGTGTTTATCCTAGCTCTGTGCTTTGTCATACATTAGAAAGGCACAGCTGAAAAATGAAAGAACCTAGTTTTATATATATAATGTGTTGGAAAAGTTATAGTTTAGGTGCCTAAAATGTAAATATTTTGAACTTCGCAGATAAAATATTAGAACTATATCAGATATGGATATGAAAAATAATAACAAGTATTAGTATAGTAAGCTGCCATTATTTACAGAGGTCAATAATATTTATCCTGGTATCTCTTGTTCTAAGCAAACAATAGGATAATTTTAACTCCAACATTTAATAACTTGGACTTTTTTTTTGTTTGTTTTTGTTTTTTTTGAGTTGGAGTCTCACTCTGTCACCCAGACTGGAGTACGGTGGCCGCTCCGATCACCACAGCCTCGACCTGCTGGGCTCCAGCGATCCTTCCACCTCAGCCTTCCAAGTAGCTGGAACTACAGGCGCACGTTACCATGCCCGGCTAAGTTTTTGATTTATTGTAGAGATGAGGTCTCACCAAGTCGGGTCTCGAACCCGCGGGCTCAGGCAATTCACTCACCTCAGCCTCCCAAGGCAAGGGATTACAGGCTCAGCCACCGAGCCCGGCAATAACTTGGACTTTTAAAATATATTTTTATACTACTAAGAAAGAAAACCCACAGAATTACTTTGTTTGCTTCCGTTCAATCACGTAACAGGCTTAAAATGTGTTTATTGGAGTCATTGATGCACTGTCATTAAAACATCTCTTCTATTTTCCTATAGAGACTCCCTATTCCTTCCCCCCTCAAAAAAACCTTTGCTTATAATACTTCAATCAAAATTGTATTAGGTTGATCTTTCCAAGATTAATCTTTAAAAGTAATAGAAATTTGATTAAATTTCATAACTGGAAATAGTGGCTCCAGACCAACAATTGGGTTAAATTATTAAGATTAAATTCTTCCAGAGTCAAACTCTTAAAACACATACCTATTCCCAGGCCCCCCAGGAAGCATAACCCAGTCACCTACACCTTAAAGTGAATTTGTTGTACTGTGAAAGGTGACCCTGTAAGACAGAAGTAGTCAATAGCTATGGTGTAAAAGGCTGGCTGGTGTAGGAATGGGGAAGGTTGGAGATAAGACACACAAAGCAGGTAAAGAGACACCTCAGTCAATTTCACTAACATGTAATTTAGCTTAGGATGCTTTGTGTATGTTGCATTTATACCGCTCTTATACTAGACATTTCAATAGAATGGTATGGTTCTTTTTTGTCTTCATTCAATAATTTTATCATCTTAAATAGTGCTTTTATCTAAATATAAAATAATATAAACTCATTATAGAAAACTAAAAAATACAGAAAGATATACAGAAGAAAATAAAAGGCACCCATAATTCTACCACTTAAATACAGTGCACTCTTCCTTTTTAACACTTTGCTTTAGTAAAGAAAGTCTGTATACATTTTTTGGATCTACAACTTCCTATTTTCCTAGCTCTAGGCTCTAAGCTCAGGTCTGACCTCTGGTGTCTATATATTTCCAAATAGCCGCTGTTTTATTTAGTGCTAGAACCAGCAAAAAAGCAGCTTCAACAGTAGTGGGAGGGGAGAGGAAAGGTCATATTAGCTTTGGTTCTACATGCATATGCACAGGAGAGTTTCTTGCAGAATGCCAGCATCACTCTCTTGGGGATAAGCACACTTAGAGGTAGCAACTCTCTACTTCAGGTTACATGCAGACCATGGTGGAGCCTTCAACCAAGCAGACAGGAGAGACTTTTAGCTCATGCTTGCAGTAAATAGGTAGTTAAGGATGCTGTGCTACATTCCCCTCATTGAATGCCTCCAGAAGAGTGTAGCGGTTAAGAATTTAGATTTGAGAGATCTGACTGCCTATACTTGAGCCTTGGCTCTACCACTTTCTGCCTGTCTGACCTTGGGTAAGTTACTTAAGTTCTCAGTGTTATCAGTATCTACATCTGTAAAGAAGTAATATGTCTGATAGGGCTGCTGTGATTATTAAATAAATTACTACATGTAAAGAACTTAGAGCAGTGCCTGGCATATAAGTACTCAATGAATAATAATCATTATTACAATTCTGCCTCCAGTGTACACACTCTCCAGCAGTATGTGAACACCTGTTTCATTGCATTTATCATTGCTCATCTGAAACGCAAAAAATGGCATCTAATTTAATTTGTACTTCTTTAAAAATCGTGGAGGACGGGCATAAACTGAGATCTTCAGCATAAGAAGATAGTGATAAGCTGGGCTTGGTGGTTCAACCTGTAATCCCGCGCCTTTGGGAGGCTGAGGTGAGTGGATTGCCTGAGCCCGCGGGTTCGAGACCCACCTGGGCAGCGAGACCTAATCTCTGCAATAAATCAAAAAATCAGCCAGATGTGGTAGCGCATGCCTGTAATTCTAGCTGCTTGGAAGGCTGAGGCGGAAGGATCGCCGGAGCCCAGCAGGTCGAGGCTGCGGTGGCCGGGAGCGGCCACTGCACTCCAGTCTGGGCGACAGAGTGAGACACCAACTCAAAAAAAAAAAAAAAAAAAGATGGTGATATAAATACAGCCATCAGGTTACATTTGAAACAAAATTTTATATCATAGAATTGTCTGACAGGTGCCTACCCTAAAATGAACTCTTAACACTCTAATCTTTGTCTCGATGGTGCTGTAACTGACTGCACAGATGTTATTACTTATTTGATCCTCTGGGTTTGTGTTTGTTTTTTTAAAGGCACGGTCTTGCTCTGCTGCCCAGGTTGGAGTGCAGTGGTGCAATCAAGGCTCACTGCAGCCTCGACTTCCTGGGTTCAGGCAATCCTCCCACCTCAGCCTCCTGAGTAGTTGGGAATACAGGCGCACACCACCAGGCTTGGCTAATTTTTAAAATTTTTTGCAGAGACAAGGTCTCACCATGTTGTCCAGTCTAGTCCTAAACTCCTGGCCTCAAGGCAATCCTCCCACCTTGGCCTCCCAAAGGGCTGAGTTTACAGGCATGAGTCACTGTAACTGGCCTGATCCTTTTTTGTGTCCATGTCCTGACTTACTGAGGCATGTCACCCTTTTGTATGTGTAATTCCCTGTTTTAGAGCCAATAAATTCTACCTCTCCTTTAACATGCTGGGTTCTCTATTTCTACTCTCAAATACTGGTGCAGTCTCAACAATATTCACTAGGAATAGAGAGAAGGAAGTTTGCTAACATGTGTGAACACCTAAGCATAAGCCAGGCACTGTGCTAAAAATGTTATGTCACCTAATTAAATATATTCAGAGAGGTAAAGTAACTTACTTACTCGAGCTCACCTAACTATTAAGAAGCCGATACAGATTTTCAACCCAGAAGTGTTTGCTTTAAATGGCCATCATATTCTACTATGTCACAATGCCTGTACTAAACTGGCAGTATTATGATCCAAACCACACAAATGTTAAACCAGAATGAAGAGGTTTAGAGAACAGTGCAATAGTATCTGTGAATTCCTATTTTTAGTCAATTAAATTTCCTGACAGGCTGGGCTCAGTGGCTTAGACTGTAATCCCAGCAGTTTGGGAGGCAGAGGCAAGTGGATTGCCTGAGCCCCTAGGTTCAAGACCAGCCTGGGCAACTTAGCGAGACCTCGTCTCTACAATAAAAAAATCAAGAAAAAATTAGTTTGGCATGGTAGCATGCACCTGTAGTTCTGACTACTTGGAAGGCTGAGGCAGAAGGCTCTCCAGAGCCCAGCAGGTCAACGCTGGGGTACCATGAGTGTGCCACTGTACTCCAGCCTGGGTGACAGAGTGAGACTCCAACTCAAAAAAAAAATTTCCTGACCATCTTACCCTGTTTCCTTCCATTTGGTCTATGGATATTACCCCAAATACATTCATACTCTATATTTTTTACTCACGGTATTGGCCTGGCTATAACTGAGGTGTCAAAATTCTCTTGAGATGTTTTTTCCTTCCAGTAAGCATTTAGCTTCTGGGCAAGGGCATTTATTGTCAACCTGAAAGAAAATGCAAAAAGTATGTCCAAGTTGAACACTTGGTGAACACTGTTTTGATCTTTGAAAAGCTTCCATTTAACAGAAACCAACAATTTAGAAAATTCAGCATAGTTTTGAACATCTACACATTAATAAACTAAGATGGGACTATACTGCTCTTGCAAGCTACATATCAAAATGAAAAGTCATAGTGTTGAATAGTCACCTTGGTTTAAAAGGTAAAATGGTCACAAGTGCTAAAAAGTAGAGTTCTACACATTTTCAGGGCTTGTAGAATCATGGAGGGGTGGGTACATTGACATTAGAGACTATGACAGAGGACCAAACTTCAGAGCTAGAACAGAACCAAATACTAGTAAGTTGATCGGGAATTACTTGACTGTCAGATGGCTACAGGTAAAGAATTCAAGAACAAGGTGAAAGCCACAGGACACAATACTGCACCCTATCTACATAAATCAATCAAATATTACATTAATATGTCTATATAGTTCCTCTTCATCCAAATGCTGATCATAGCAGTTATAGTGTCAATGAACAAGCACCCTTCAACATTCTACTACACATCTTTTACTGGAGACTGTATCTGAGTTCTGGCTCTTACTCATTCTCCTCTATCTACACAGACCCAGGGTCAACAACAAATGTAATTTGTAAAAGTCAAAATCTAAATTTTGCTTCTCAAAACTGCCAATATTGTAATTACTAATTCTTATTTGATTTTGCAGCCCAGGATTACAATATAATATTTTGAAATCTTTTGTCCCCTGGATAATTCCCCCAAGGTTTTTACAGAACTCTTCTTAAGAGAAATTCTTCCTTACTTTCTCTTTACTCATTAAATTAGGTTCTCACTACATAGAAAAGATTAAAGTAACCATATACAATCTCCACTACAAACTCTTATTCCCCTTCAACCTACCAATGTTCCTATCTCTATGTTTATATACTTCTCTCAAGTCACAGATGAAGAACTATTCCTTGTTTTCTCTTAAAAATATAATTAAAATCTATTCTACAAACTAGAAGATTAGGTGGGTTATGGGAAGATGGCAGAATAAGAAGCATGCAGAAACCATCTTCTCACCTAGACAACAACTGCTCTGGCAGAAGCTGCCTGATATAACTATTTTGGAACTCTGGAGTCTACTGAAGGCTTGTAACTTCCAGGGGGATGGTATGGAGGGTAAATTGTAATTAATTTGTGGCAATTTCAATTCTTAGCTCAATAGCAGCTACCCATTCCCCACTTCTATCCCTTTGGCAAGCAGTTCTTTATGTGTTCCAAAAGCAACTTCTGGGATTCAGGGTGGGCAAAAAGGATGCTGTCCTCTAAATATCACAGATCTACACTATTATCACTGATTGATACTTCTGATCACAGAGGTGCAAACAAAAAGGCAGGTGGCCATTGTTATTGCACTGGTCCATTGTAGTGACGTCCAGGGTATTCAAAGGCTGGGCAGCTTTTTTCCCCCTGATTTTTCTCTTTGTCACCTCTTGGGAGTCAAATGTAAAGACTAGGCCATTTTAAAGTAATCACATATATGGATTATAAATTAGAAAGTCATTGTGCCCAGGAAAAGGCGTAGGCTAAAAAAAGAAGTGAGGAGACCTTAAGTTTACTTCTCAGGCTGATCACTAGCAGAAACTGCCTAGAACAATAAAACAGAAACAATCCCCTGCCCCCAGCAAACCCTGGGAAAGGGAGAACCTGACTTCTAGAGTTACCACATTATTAGAGCCAAATATCCAGTTTAAACAGAAAATCGCAAGGCACACAAAGAAATAAGAAAAGTATACCCCATTCAAAGGAAAAATGAAATAAACAGAAATCACCCCTAAAAAAGGTTCAATAATGAATCCACTAGACAAAGACTTTAAAAAAACTATTTAAAGACACTCAAGAAACTAAAGGAATATGTGCAGAAAGTCAAGAAAACAATGCATGAGCAAAATAGAAATATCAATAGAGAGATAAACAACCTAAAAAGAACCCAAAATGAAAGTGAAGTTGTCCCTAGACAACTTAATTAATTAGGGAAGAAGAAAGAGCAAGGGAAAAAAATAAACCAAGCTTGCAGCAAATTCAGCATTAATCATTAGGTCAGCTTGCTCTCTAACCTGCTTCCTCATAGCTGTTTGTTGCCTATTGCCCCAGAATCACGTAAACCCTGTTACAAGGCTATAGTTTGCCTTAACTGCTCTATAGATAACAACTTGAGCATTGTGAAATGTTAAGTTTTTCATTTGAGACATTCTTTCAGGTCTTGCATACTGATGAAACTACTGATGTCAGCTGGTCTGAAGGATCTCGCTGATACCAGCTAGAAAACAAATAGCAACATTATGAAAGTTTCTCCCTATGAGTAGTTACTTTAAATGCAAATGCATTAATCTAGATTCACAAAGATATGACATAATGAAAAGGAATGTAGCAGATGTTAATACCTGAAAATGGAGTGCTGCTATAACAAATAACTGAGGATATGGAAGTGGTTTCAGAATTGGCATTTGACAGAGGCTGAAAGGATTTTAAGGAGCATGACAGAAAAAGCCTAAATTGCCTTGAACAGAATGTTAGTAGAACAGACTGTTAAACACTTCATGAGTGAGGGCTCAGAAATAAGTGAGATGCATGGCAGAGAAAATACAAATGGCCTTAGGGAATACCCAAAATCATTGTAAACAGACTATTGGTAGAAATATGGATGTTAAAGGCATTGCCAGTGAAGGATCAGAAGGAATTGAGGAACTTGTTATTGGAAAACTTAAGGGAAGGAGATCCTTTGTTACACAGTAGCAGAAAGCATAGCAGAACTGTCCTTCAGTTATGTGGAAAACAGAACGTTTAAATCATGAAATTGGACATTTAGCTGAGGCAAAGTATTGAGAATGTGGCCTGGTGTCTTCTTGCTGCTTATGTAAAATGCAAGAAGAAAGAAATAAATTGAAGGAAGAACTGTTAAACAAAAAGCAACCAGGACTTGATGATTTGGGAAATTCTTAGCCCATCCAGATTGCAAAAGAGGCTAAAATTTAGAGATTTTGTGTCAGGAAAGCATGCTTTAGAGAAAAAGCTAATGGTGGGGCTGGACAATCTTTTGCTAATATCTCAGAAAAATCTAAAGGTCAGAGTATTCAGTCACACAGAAAGCTTTTTGAAAAGATTTAATCACATGAATCACAGATCTCCATAGCCATCTCAGCTAAAGCCAAGAATAGATGATGGATTACTTAGGAAATACCTATAAAGAGCCTCTTATAGGAGGGTATGAATACCCATGACATACATGGCAAACCTGCAAGGTTCTTGAGAATGGCATACTAGCATAAAAAACTTCTAACTTGAACTTAAAGAAATGGACAGAATATAAAATGAAAAAAGCCTGTTGTGCCCTCAAAATTCTCCAGTCAGGAAACAGGCTGATGAAACTACTCAGCTGCAAATACATGCTTCCCTTCATGAAAAAAGATGACTTTAAGGGTGGGGCCATAAACCCAGAGGGCAAAGCCTCAAGACTATAGGGTGGAGGACTTTAAATTTAATGGAATTTGCCTGACTGGAGTTTGAAATTGCTTGGGAGTGACTCCTTTCTTTCTTCCAGTTTCTCCCCCATTTGAATCAGAATATATATAACTAGTATCCAATGCTTGCCCCACCATTGGATTTTAGCTGCAAAAAATTTTTCAAAAGATTCATCCATAGAAGTAAAGAAAATTTGCCCCAAGATACAACATACTCAAAATATCAACATTACGTGATTTACATAATGAAATTTAAGACTTTTGAGTCAATGATATTCAGAGGAAATTTTTAGACTCTATGTTGATGCTGTAATTAGTTGAAACTTGAAAACACTGGAATGGGGTAGTATATTTTGTATATGAGACCTAAGTGAATCCTTGGAATCTTAGGGGACCAAGGGCAGACTGTGGCAGACAGAATAATAGTCCTCCAAAGATATGTAGGTCCTAATCCCTGAAACCTGTGACTATGTTAATATGTTATTACACAGCAAGGGGGGAATTAAGGTTGCAGATGGAATTAAGGGTACTCATCAGCTAACCTAAAGGTAGGAAGATTATCCTAAATTATCTAATGTAACCACACAAGGGTCCTCAAAAGCAGAAGAGTGAGGCAGAAGAGTCAGAATCACAGAAGCAGATGTGATGACAGAAGGAAGATCATCAGAGTGATGCAATGTGAGGACTCAACCTATCACTGCTGGCTTTGAAGTTGGGGGAAGAGGACCATGGACCAAAGAATGCTGCAGCCTCTAAAAGCTGGAAAAGATAAGGAAATGGATTCTCCCCTAGAGTTTCCATAAAGAAATGTAGCCCTCCTCACACCTTGATTTTGGCTCACTGAGATCTGTGTCAGACTTCTAACCTACACAGCTCTAAGACAGTAAATTAGTGCCATTTTAAGTCATTAAGGTGTGTGATACTTTGTTGTGACAGCAGTAGAAACAATTTCTCTTGTTTATAGACAAATTGAGTATTACTGTATTTCCCTCAAAAATGTAAACTATCTCATGGCTTCCCTGTGATTTCTTTCTTTTTTTTTTTTTTTGAGTCAGAGTCTCACTCTGTCACCCAGGCTGGAGTGCAGTAGCATGTTCATGGACACCACAGCCTAGACCTGCTGGGCTCAGGTGATCCTTCCGCCTCAGCCATCCACGTAGCTGAAAATATAGACATGTGCCACCACACCCAGCTAAGTTTTTTGATTTACTGCAGAGATGAGGTCTCGCCATGTTGCCTAGGCTGGTCTTGAACCTGTGGGCTCAGGCAACCCTCTCGCTTCCACCTCCCAAAGTGCTGGGATTACAGGCATGAGCCACTGCTCCTGGTGTGAATTCTTTATTGTAGCTCATCACATAGTTCAGGAATAATGGTTCTAGAACAGGGGTTAGCAAACTATAGCCTGGGGGACAAATCTAGCCCACTGCTTGTTTTTGTAAATAAAATTTTATTGGACACAGCCATGTTCATTCCTTTATTTATTGTCTATGCTTTCATACTATAGCAGAATTGAGTAGTTGTGACAGACAATATGGCCCACAAAGCCTAAAATATTTACTTTCTGGCCCTTTTCAGAAAATAGGAAAAATAGGAGTTTGCCAACTCCTGCTCTAGGATATGGCCCTACTCTATCCATCCAACTTGATTTGCCTTTGTTCCACTTACCTCCTGTTATCTTTACCCCTTATATTCTTACCATTCTGAGTTCCTGTCAGTACTACTTTAGCTCATGCTACAATTCCATCCTGGAATTCCCTTCCCTCTCTTCTAAATCTTGTATATTTTAAGGCACACCTCAAGTCATCCTTTCTATCTAAAATCTGCCCTACTTTACCAGGGCGTTTTTCCTATACCATACCACTTAGATTTTGATGGATCAAAAGCCATTTGATTGCTCTCTAAATTGTTTCATATATGTTACAATCTGTTATTACAAATAGAATGTAAACTCCTTAAAGACAGTGACTATGTCTTGAATTTCTCTGGAAAATTCCACAAAGCCTTGCCAGTATATTATGTATCAGCAGAGTGCTCAGTTAATACAGGTTGATCGCATTTCTTAAACAAGTTCACTCTAAAAAATGGGGCTGAGCACGGTGGCTCAGCCTGTAATCCCAGCACTTTGGGAGGTGGAGACAAGAGGACTGCTTGAGCCCGGGGGGTTCGAGACCAGCCTGGGCAACTTGGTGAGACCTCATCTCTGCAATAAATCAAAACTAGCTGGGGGCATGGTGGAGTACATCTGTAGTTCCAGCTACTTGGAAGGCTGAGGTGGAAGGATTGCCTAAGCCCAGTAGGTCGAGGCTGTGGTAGCCATGACCAGGCCACTGTACTCCAGCCTGGGCGACAAGAGTAAGACCCCAACTCAAAAAAAAAAAGTTTTAAGTTTGAACCCTAATAGTTGCAGCTGAAATCTGATATACACAACTGTTAAAAGTGATATTACGGATGATTTATTTGCAGACATTCTAGTAGTATGATGACTGGCATCTCTTTAATCATTTGCAGTGTTGATATCTATAATACTCACAGGATGAGTTTTTGATAGCAGACAACCTGTGATTAGACTTTCCCTCAAATTCTTGTATTTTTAAATCTAAATACCTTTTTCATTTTATACAAAATAAATTGAGTATAAAAGGGTCAGTGTTGTATGTGGGATAGTATATTGGTTCCATTTTTAATAAAATAAGTAGCAGATATTAAGCTCCATAAGCCAGAAATCCTATGTGCACAACTGAATAAATCTACGGTCTATAGACTATCTCTATCTAGATCACTGCAATCACTTCAAACTCATCATGCCAACACTAGACATCAGAAACCAAGCATCTGATGCCTTTAAAAACTAAAAGAAAGCCGGGCTCGGTGGCTCAGCCTGTAATCCCACGCCTTTGGGAGGCTGAGGTGAGTGGATTGCCTGAGCCCATGGGTTCAAGACCAGCCTGGGCAGCGAGACCTCATCTCTACAACAAATCAAAAAAAATCAGCCGGGCGTGGTAGCGCACGCCTGTAATTCCAGCTACTCGGAAGGCTGAGGTGGAAGAATCGCTGGAGCCCAGCAGGTCGAGGCTGCGGTGACCGGGAGCGGCCACTGCACTCCAGTCTGGGCGACAGAGTGAGACTCCAACTCAGGAAAAAAAAAAATTAAAAGATAGATTTGAGTAGTAGAGTGACAAAGATGATATAGAAAGATGACAAATAATTTCTAATATCTAACATTCAGATTTACAAATCTTAACTATTTAGGTAATCATCAGCAATTCCCTATTCCTTTCACTCAAGAGAAATGTATTAACTTGACTCTGAGACTTGTCAAACTAATGTCATTCCTAAGCTTTCACTCTTAAAAGTCAAGTCCGGGTCAAAGATTTCCATTAGGGGTCAGACTTATATTTAAACAATCATTTCACCTAGACTGAGGGAAGATGGTTGCCATAACCACTGAGCAGCCCAAGTCACCAAAAAACAATTATCCTGAAATTAATTTGGGGTTGCTATTTAAATAGTTGTCTCTTTGTCAAACATTAAACCTAAATTCTTATGGCTCTAAACAAATTAAGGTACAACATTTTAATTTATTACAGTTTGGGGCACAAAACAAAAGACATTTGGGAAATCATTTTTTTTCAAACTCTAAGAAAAAATTTGCTACTAAGACTTCAAGAAAAATAACAACAAATGTACTCGAGTATTCTTTCTAGAATACTCCTTCCCCTTTTGTGTCTTTGTAGTTCTTCCCTCTGCTTAGAATGTCCTTCCTTTACTGGTCCATCTAGAAAACTCTAACTTTTCTTTTAAGTTCTGATATAATCTGCTTTGTGAAGTCTTTCCTAACTCCCTTATACATACGAAGGGGGACTCAAAAACAGCTGTAATTTATTTATAAAAAATTGTGTATTTATTCTTACATGTTTAAACTTCAGTCACCTTCAAAGTCCTCTCCCGTTTGATGCAATACACCTATCGAGACACTTTTTCCACTGCTCAAAACAGTTTTTGAACTCATTAATTTTGATGCCTTTTGGTGCTTCTGCCGTTTTTTGTTTCACCTCTTCCACATCAGCAAAATGTTTCCCTTTGAGGACTTTTTTCATCCGGGGAAAGAAAAAAATGTCACTTTGGGCGAGATCGGGTGAATAGGGAGGGTGGGACATGGGGTTCATGCTGTTTTTGATAGAAAACTGCTGAACAAAATTTCACTGCTACACGTTGTTCGTGTAAATCATCCAGCATGAAATAGGCAAACGTGTTGAAAGAAACTCCAAAAAAATTTACTGAAGCCAAACACAGCCTCTCACAACACTAGCTGGTATACTGATGCCAATAGGTTCCTAGAACACTTACCCAGCAGGGGAAGCCTGTATGAAGAGAGGCCCACCCTCCAAAAGATGATTCCAGTTTTACGGGGGTGCCCCTCGTATTAAAGGTTCTTCCCACTTTGCATATTAAAGCAATTATTTTATAGGTGTTTTAGTTCCTTATTTGCAAACCTCTATCTCATCATACTTGTTCATAGGTGCTAAGGAGTCTTATTTTTCATCCTTATGTCCCTAGTACTTGGTACACAGAAGCTATCTCATAATACTTAATGAAATAAAGACCTACTCCGTACCCAATTTTTTTAAAAAAACTAGTCTAAACTGGCTTTAAAAACTCCTTTGTCGCCTAAACATATCCCTAACTGGTTCAGCCTCAATGTCAATTTCCTTTCTGATTCTTACATATTTGTCTTCCCTATTCAATTCAAATGCTTTTGTGAATGCATATCTTTCCTGCTGTTTCATCACTTTCCTCTAAATCTGTTCACTGGCTTCAAAACATTTTTTGAAACAAACTTCAAACTTCTTTTTTTTTCCCCAACATACTCAATAACTTTAGATCCACCCATGTCATTTCATTAAGATCAATTCCAGAGCTCTTCGTTTCACCAGAAATCTTTTTAGCAAATTACTCCTATATCCATTCTACAATTTCTAAAGGTAGGTTTATTTCAACTAGATTGCATATATCAAGTATCAGTAAACTTTAATTTCAAAATGAAATCATTTTATTTCTAATCATGGAAAATAGGTTTGAATTAATTCCCAGTTAACTTATCTAGCTGGTTTTTAGAGATGGTTTAAAAGGCATTAGACAATAGAATCATATCTGACCAAACTGTGAGAAGCACCTCAGGTTGGGAGTGACTCACCGGTATTCCTTAGTGTACTCAAAGTCTTGTTTGTTGTAGGCAGGTTTTAGGAAATTGCACTCAATGACTCCAATTACTCCTACACCTTCTCCACGAGTTGGCTTAGAAGAAAAATATTAATTTCAACACTTACATTACTGTTGACTGCCTACAGGCATTTCCTTTTGAATCCAAACAATAATAGAAAGGTTACATAACACTCATGGGCAAGAAAAAGCCATCAAGATCTAGAAACCCACTTAGAATTAACTTCAACAAACTTCAAGTATTAGTTTAACTGGAAACTCTGACAAATTCTAGGGCAGAGATTTTCAAACTCTAATCCCTAGATCCCTAGGATTCTTCAGGGATTAGCAGACATCTCTACTTTACCCACACTACCACCACTTGCATTTGCTTTATATTCCAGGATTGCTGAAAGAGTACATTTGAATAAAGAATTACACTGCTAAAAAAAAAAGGTTATATACTACTGTTCTAGGGGACTAAAATAAAAATGTATCTGAAAAATTTTTTAAGGATATCAAGTGATTACATATTAAAATAAGCAAAAAATTAGCTGGGCATGGTGGTCTGTGTCTGTAATCCCAGGTACTCAAGAGGCTGAGGTGGGAGGGATCACTTGAGCCCAGGAGTTCGAGGTTACAGTCAGCCATGATCATGCCACTTCACACCAGCCTGGGCAACAGGGCAAGACTCTGTCTCTAAACAAACAAACAAACAAATAAATAAAATAAGCAATTTTCTTACATTTATAGACCACCAAACAACTACTAAAGAGAGTCAGATTTACGGTGATTATTAATTACAAGTTGATGCAAGAGATTATTGGATTTAAAATCTTTTTATATTCTTTAACAAAAGGAATTGAGTCAAGATGTCATTAGATTGGCACATAAATATGGGTTGTTTAAAGAGCCTATAACAAGGAAAAATAAGGTTGGCTGAAAATTAGCTATCCTGGGCTTTATATAACTTAGTTCTACTATATAATACAAAGCAGTTTATCATTTCTTGTGCTTTAGCAATCTCATCTGTAAAATAGGAATAAAAGGGATACTTGTGGAAATAAACACTTGTGTTTTTGTTTTTTTTTAAGAGACAGGGTCTTGCTCTGTCGCTCAAGCTGGAGTACAGTGGTGTGATCATAGATCACTGCAGCCTCAAACTCCTGGGCTCAAGCAATCCTCCCACCTCAACCTCTGGAGTACCTAGGACTACAGGTACATATCACCATACCTGGCTAATTTTTAATTTTTTTTAGAGCTGGGGTCTTGCTATGTTTTCTAAGCTGGTCACAAACTCCTGGCTTCAAACAATCATCCCACCTTGGCCTCCTAAAGCACTGTAATTACAGGCATGAGCCACCATGCCTGGACAAAACTAGGACTTTATATAATCATTAAAACATTAAAGATGATGGTAACATTTGTAGAGCTTGCCTTAAAAAATATTTTCACATAATTTGCCCTATTTAAATCTCTCAACCCTGTAAGCTGTAAGGTAGGCAAAGCAGGTAAGATTATTATTGTTGTTTACACTTTACAGGTAAGGAAATCGAACAGTAGATAAATTAAATGATTTATCAAAGTTACACAGTTTGTAAATGGCCCCAAATCCTGGTCTTCACAACTAGCAAGTGTTATGCGCCTTCCACTATGCCTAATTATCTCCCCAAGAAAATGGAAGAGTTACCTAAAACACTAATAAGCTAATACACATGGTGAAGTTACTGGTGTTCTAATTCTACCTTTCATTAGCAGCTACTTAGAAAATGAATTCAGTAAAGTTTGTGGATTAACATTTGTCAAGAATAGAGTTAGAAAGAGTTTTTCAGCACAAGACAGGTCACTGGTAACACAGAATTCCAGAATTCAACAGCCATCATAAGATGGGAGAAAGGCTATCCCCTTTGAAAATTTTAAATTCTCTTCCTACTCTTTCCAGCCTCTGATGACAAAGAAATATTAATCACTCACCTTCACCTGGCAGCCCACTTTCTCAAAGGACTTTATGAGTCGGTTGTTATGATACATCATTACACCAAACTGGTTACTATTCTTGCAAGAGAAACCAAACGTGATTCTCACCTGCTTATTCTTAAAAGGAAATCATTAAGGATACAAACACATACCAGGGGCTTCAAAAAACGGAATTTTGCACTGTGTCATAGCAAAAAATGTCAAACACCAAGGGATACAAAGGTACACTTCTAGAGGGCATTTTAAAAATCTGCAGCAATAACTTTAAGACTATTCTTAACCTTTGACCAAGTAGTCTCGTTTAAAGAAAACAATAGTTATAATAGCAGAAAACATAAACAATTTAAATGTTCAACAATAAGGAAATGATTAAATAAATGTTGGTGTATTCACATGGCTTACTATGCAGTTCTTAAAAATATGTCCTTGAAAAAATATTGAAAAATATTTGGAAATGCTCAAATTATAATAACAAATATTATCTAATATATATATATGCATGCATACACAAACATACACACACACACACACACACACACACACACGCATAGAAAGGACTAAGAAAATATACCAAAATACCATCAATGATTTTAAAATTCATAAATAATCACAAAACACTTCTTAATCTTTGTTACTTGCTCAATTTGCTGCTTGGGCTCATAGGTTCTGATAAGAGCTGTAAATGGCATAATACAAATTTGCACAATTACATATAATAAAGTAAGTTCTGATAACCATACAAACACAATGAAATCAAAAGCAACAAGAAAACCATTTTTAAAGGTAAAGGACAATGAACAGTTCTGTAGTAATATATTTCATGGGAAGACGTTAACAAGCTTGGACAGATAGAATTAAGAGAAGTAATTTTTATAAGTAAAACATGAATAATGATGAATTTTTAACAAGCCCTTCTTGATTTTAAAACCAAGGTAAGTATGTGAGAAAGATAAAGTATGTGTGAAAGATAAACAGGTGTTCATTAAAACATTAATAACACTAGGGCAAACCCTTCGGGTCCCCTCCCACTGTGGGGACTTTTCTGTCCTCTTAATAAATCCTGCTTTCTCAAAAACAACAACAACAAAAAAACCTAATACTAAGAAACTTTCACATCCAAATGAGTTGAATGAAAAGTGACCTTTAGAACTTGTTCAAAAAATGATCTCCCTTGCCCCTTTTAAATGACAAGCTACTTGCCATCAAAGCCATATGACATGTAGGTGAGGTAAGGTACAAAGACAAGATACAAGTGGGTACATAGCACAGTAATGTTTGGATCAGAACATATAATGTTCTGGGCTCCAGAAGCTCAAGTCAAACCTCAAGTAAGACCTTATTCCAACACAAAAACAAAACAAAACTTCCCCAAACAAGTAAACCAAAATCCCATCCACAAAAGTAACTTCACAAATATAAAGACATAAATTTTTCTTTCTGTTGTACATTTTTTAAATTCCAAGTTACGGGGTGGGGGCACATTGGGATAGGTGACTCTCCAAATTAGTATAAGGAGAGAGAATAGTAGGAAAGAGGAGACCATTGATAACTGATGAATAAATAAGTCAGTGCCAACAATCTTGTCCCCCAGTAACCTTGAGGGAAATTTAATTAGGAGTTTCATTTTAATCATGCCTATAGTGAATCTGTTTGATTCATACTGTAATGATGGGAAGGTAACTGGTTTAATGAGAAGGGGGGCTGAGAAGAGCTGAGGTAACATACGAGAAATGCATGCATAGGAGTTTCCCCGATAGAAACCTACAAGAGAAAGATGAAGACAGAAGTGTGTTATATCCTAAAACAGTAGTTAGAAAGAATGTCTTTAAACTGGCTCTGTTAAACCTACAGCACTAACAGATCTCTCACAGAAACAAAGAGCTGAGTATCACATATTCTCACTCATAAATGAACCTTGAACAACTACCATATTACTATAAGAAAAAGATTGAAAGTGGGGAGGGGGCTGAGGGGATGGGGAGGTGGGAATGACAGTAGTCGATATCTACAAGGGGAAGGGGGAGCACACCTCATTGATAAGGGTAACTGCACGGTGAATATTTGTATACCTAACCCTGAATTGTACCCCACAACTTTAAATACAAATTAAAAGAGGAAAAAAAACCATCCTAGCCTACAGTCATATTAAAACGAATTTACCTACAGATGCTAACAATGCTATCTCTGCCTTTATTAAGTTGGGTTTATTTAGGTCTTTTTAAAAAAGTTTCCTACTAGACAAGATATGAGTTCCCCCACAAAATGAAAATCAGTTTGCTCATGAGTAAAAACTATATGATTTTTTAAAAAGGGAATAATTTTCTCATCTTTGGTCAGGGAAAGACAAAGCAAGCTAATAAAGCAAACAGAGTGTGAACATGGTTCTTGGGCTAAGAGTGGTGCTTAATGACTAGAAAATATATTAAAAGAGCAATTCTTCATAACTGCTTATGAGTTCTCAGTCTTTCTTTTTAAAAAAAAAAAATTTATTTTAAAGATGTGGGGCACAATTCAGGGTTAGGTATATAAATGTTCCCCAGCCTTTCAAACACTTTTTCTGCCCCAAAAGCCCTCAACAACATGTACCTAATTTCCACAGTTCATCTTAAGATTTTCTGTAGTATCTGAAATCTGTTCCCAGTGCAATGGAGGATAGAAGTGAAAAAAATGAAGAACAACTCCTCTGAGTGGTTGGCACTATGAGAAGTACCAGGAATTTTATTTTAAACCTGCTGAAGACCAGATCTGTTTCACCATAGAAATCAACTTTTAATTTCCTCTCTCCTAACTTCAGTCAATGTTAAGTCTGGACATGTTACAACAAAAATGATATTATATCCAAAAGATTAAAAAATTCTAGTCAACATTTGCTTCTTTCTTTCTTTTTTGAGTCAGGGTCTCATTCTGTTGCTCACTGGAGTGCAGTTGTATGATCACGACTCACCACAACCTCAATCTTCTGGGCTCAGGCCATTCTTCAGCCTCAGCCTTCTGAGTAGTTGAGACTATAAGCACGTGACCATAATCAGCTAAATATTTTTTATTTTTTTTAGAGATAAGTTCTATGTTGCCTAGGCTGGTCTCAAACTCCTGAGCTCAAGTAATCCTCTCACCTCAGCCTCCCAAAATGCTGGGATTACAGGTGTGAGCCACCACACCTAGCCTACTTATTTCAATCAGTGTAATATATGTATCAAAATTCCAGTAGAAACAAAATGATGTGGATTATTCCTTAAGGGAGAGATTCTCAAACCAGCCTGGGACATCAGTAGAGGATTTACAAATAAATAAATATTTCTGCTTTTTTAAAAAAAGATTTCAGAATCTACGAACCAGAATCTCCAAAATCTCAAGACACTATTATTTGAACAGTTTCCAGGTGATTTCTGATAAAACCATAGCTTGGCATTTAAGAAATACTTCCTCAGAGTGTACTATAACAGGATGTTTACTATGACACATTTTTAAATTAGAAAAGGAAAGTTCTTGCTTTTCTGTGCCATACTGAATATTTAAACCTGAAATAGAGAGGTCAACGTCATATAGTTGTAAGGATACTGTGAAGGTAGGTTTATATATATCATATCCTACATTGGCCAGGCTCTTGGCAATCATCTGGGTAGTCACCTTCTTTTGACGCAGAAAAATTTTCATTCGTGGCTTCATGTATAGAACACTACAAAATGCCTATGGAACAGTGAAGGGAAAGTTATTATGCAATATTGCCAATTCTACTGACATATCCATAAAACACTGCTAACAACTGATGTCTATTCTGGGCAAAGATTTGACTCGGCTTCTCTACCTTGTTACATTACGTCAACTACCACATTAAAGTACATCTGACTGTATTAGCTAAACTGTTTCAGTGGAGACAGTAAAAAGGAATCCTAGCAAAGGGCTAAAAGGCTGTCATCTTTATATAACTAAAATGAGATCCTGTTCTACATTATTTTAACATTATAGGAAATCTTACCTCTCACTGTTGAAGAAAAACCACTCTTACCCGTAAAGAATACTCTGTTTCTGGTAGCTCAGAGGTAACACCACCAGTCTCTTTTTCTTCTGAATCAAAGTCTGACACCAGGATGTCATATTGATCTGTATCAAAGTCCAACTCAGACTTTCCATCTTTATTTCTGGGTAAAAGAGACAAGTACCAATCTAACAAAAACTGGCTCCAAAGGACAAAAATGCACTAGGAACCCAATAGACAAGAAATGATAGCCAAAACTCAGCTATCTGTTTCTCTCCCTGACTACCAGTGCCAAGGAACTACAAACTACCTTGGATTAAGGATCACACAATATTTAGAGGTATTTCTATTCTAAACAAACCTACTTCATTTCATAGAGGTTGTGATGCCAAGTTTATAAGAAAAGAAAAAGAATGTGGAATGTCTGTGATCTGAAAAATCAATTAATGTCAGCTATCTTCAAAGCAGAATCTGAAAACAGATCCCAAATTTCTGGCTATTGTCAAGTAAATCACTCAAAATCATTTTCCCCAACTGAATGAATAGATGAATCAAAACCTATTCTACTAACTTCAAACTAATGTGATATCAAGATTTCTCCAGATCTAATCCTATTTCTTAGCAGGAATAAAAATTGTTATAAGTACAGCATATATATTTACTAGTCTGGAATATCATTTGTATAACTGTCACTTAAATATAAGAGTATTAATACACTTTTCATAAGGACCTTTCTTCTTCCCATAATCTTTTTGGACCACTTAGCTTTGTTCCTTTCCAAGACCCCTATCTTTATCACTAACCACTGCCAGGGAAAAAAGGAAGACCCATCTTTTTTCCTGGAAAAAAACTCAGAACAAATTATGGGTTTTAGAAAAAATGTATATACCAGAACAATATTTTCCAAAATTTGTTCTATGGAACAGTAATCCCTCAAGATACTCTTCAACAAGAAAGTAAGAAATAATAAAAGCTGTATGATCAAATAAAATTGAGAAATGATTCTTAGTGCTCAGAGCCACTTCAAGCTCTAATGATATCTCCTTCTCATACTTCAGGCTCCATAAGCTCAGAGCTGCTGTGTTGAAAATGTAGCTACTACACAAAGGCAGGAACAACTGACGCTGGACAGTACTTGAGGGAGAAGAGAGGGGAGAGAGAGGAGAGAAAGGATTTGTTAGAAGCCCAAACTTCATCTGCATGCAATTTACTTATGCAGCAAATCCTCACATGTACCTCACAACTTTAAAATTAAAATTAAAAAAAGAAAGGGGCTGAACCAGGGCAATTATAGTTTACAGCCTTATGAAGCCCATGATACCGTTTCATATTGTATTCTGTATTTTCCAAGATAATCCTAATTCTCACTAAACTACCCTACCCTAAGGCATATACCCTAACGAGGTTCTCAGGCCTCTTTGTTTTTCATCTTCATGTAAGGAAAAGAAGTCTGAAGAAACATTTTGAAAAGCTGAGAAACACTGCCTACTGTACTGCTTTATCAAATATTTTCAATGCATATTAAAGCCTCTGAGAAGTCCTAGAGTAAAGCAACATGGTAAACTTTGTTTAAGCCAAGTTTTCCCAAATGTATTTGACCATGCAATCCTTTATTTATACAGGTTGAATATCCCTTAACTGAAATGCTTGGGACCAGAAGTGTTTCAGTTTGACTCTTTCTGGGTTTTGGAGTATTTGCATTATACTTACTGGTTGAGTATCTCTAATCCCAAAATCCAAAATGCTCCAATGAAAAGGGTAAACTGATAACTGAGAAAAGAAGGAAAATTGGAGGAATGAAAGCTTTATGATGGTATGGGGTAGGATCCAGAACACATCTAGAGGGAATGGCCCTAGACAGAGCAAAAAGACTTGGCAGAGTATGTGGGCATGAATATGGTGAGCTAATAGAACTAGGTGGGGGAGGATTCATTTATGGTGAGATCATAACTTGTGAGTGCAGAGGGGAGCTAGAGGTCTAAGAAGTCATTCCAGAAGGTTAGAAATTGTATATGCACCACAGGTAAAGTAGGATGGCACCAAGCGTAGTATGCCTTGACGTTTGTGGTCATGGTTTTGAAATAACTAGCATAATTGTTTGATTTTCTCAAAGCAACATTTAGTTGCTTGGATAAAGATGCAAAGTAGGCAGTCACTTGAGTATAATAAGTAAAGTTGAGATTTTGCCAGGCAAAGAAAGTGGCAAAGAGATGGTCAAGGGAATCAATAAGAATTTGCAAGAAAAAGGTTACAGTAGTATATGAAATCACAGCTGGTAAGATGGAAGCGAAATATGGGAAGAAAGAGCATGTGATAAACATGAAAAATAAATGGCAGCCAGGTGAGATGGCTCAAGCCTATAATCCTAGCACTTTGGGAGGTTGAGGCGAGAGGATTGCCTGAGCTCAGGGGTTTGAGACCAGACTGAGCAACACGGCAAGACCTCATCTCTACAATAAATAAAAAATTAGCCAGGTGTGGTGGCGTGCGACTGTGGTTCCAGTTATTTGGAAGGCTGAGGCGGAAGGATCACCTGAATCCAGCAGGTAGAGGCTGTGGTGGCCATGAGCGTGCCACTGCACTCCAGCCTGGGCAACAGAGTGAGATTCTGACTTAGAAAAAAAAAAGGAAAGAAAGAAAGAAAAAGAAATGGCAAGGGCAAGAGATTGGGGAGCTTGGTGAGACTGGTCACTTAGGAGAATAGGATGAGCTGGGCAGACAAGAGTCATTTATCAGAAAATGAGTTGTCTGCAGTTACAGTGTGGCAGTTGCTAGTAATGAAAGGTGAATGCCTGTATGAGCGATAGATATCTAAGGGAGAAAGAGATGGGCAAAAAGATCAATATCAAATGTGACTTTAAATTTTCTGCTACTATACCATCATTTGGGATGAAAATGGTTTTTACACCATTCCTAATATTACTGGAGTAGATTAAACATTTTTGTTTTTACTGGTCATAAAAAATTATCAATATATAAATTAATCATGATATATATGGTCATTTCCTCAATATTTCATTATTGTTTTGACTTTAATAAATCATCCTAGATAACTGTAAAAAAATGTTCCAATGAGCACTTCTTTTGAGCCATCATATTGGCGCTCAAAGAGTTTCAGATTTTGCAGCATTTTGGATTTTAGATTTTTGGATTGGGAATTCTCAAACTGTATTAACACCTAGTACCATACACACAACTGAGAAGCAATGTACAAAGAAAAAAATCTGCTTAAGGTTTTTTCACTGGAAATACCTCAAGAAAACAAATCTTCATAATACAAATTAGGTTACTTGAGGTTTACTCAGTAGGACAGAAGGAAGATTTAAATTACCAACGTGTGAGTCCTTACTATTTTTCTTTTTAAGTACAGTACTCTCTATAAACACTGGCATTGCTTTTATGTAAGTTTTACCCAGCTAAGAAATGAGACAAAATACTTGACCTAAGGAAAAAAAGGAAGGATGAATACATCTGATACTCTGTTCTATAAAACATACTACAGCACAGCTTTTCTTTTTGAGAAACTTGCCCATGGCAGGTCTTTCTGCCATGAATCTTCCTTTTTCCTTCTTTTCTTCCCATTAATAAACTGCTTTAAAACTTTTTTTAAAATACTACAAATACCTCTATTTAATATTAAAGTTTTTTGGGTTTTAGTGTTTAGGTGTTAACCTACTCTTAAATGTATTCTACTTGGCACACTAAGATGAAACAAATGACAGAGTATTTCTAGATTCTTTAATTAGTTCTAAAGACATGATTTTAACCCAGCTTCATTATAGTTAAAATTTACCTGCTCCAAAAATTTTTCTACTACTAATCCAGCTACTCTGAAAGCACTAATACAGAGGTCCTTATTTTTTAAAGATCGCATTACACCCTGTTACTTTAATTTCTCTTCCTCATACTTCATTTTCATTGTCAAATAGGTAAAACAACTAACATTTACCAATCTCAAAGCAATGCCCATGAACTGAAATATATATTTATGAAGGATTCTGGGGGTCTTGATTTTTATGGTAATAGCCTCAGGATATGCATGTTTCCACCTTAAACATGCCACATTTTACCAACAAGAACCACTACCTCAAACAGAACTGTGGTTGTAAAAGAAATCCATAGGAAAATATGCAATGAGATTAAAAATGTGTATCAGAATTTATCTACTCGGCTTCTCTATCACCCTTGGAATACTATACCTGCGGATGTTCCAAATGAGAACACGAGTGCCTTTTTTGCCTGGGATGGCATCAAACTGAGACAGCAGGTCATTTTCACTGTTGAAAATTGAATAGTTCAAGATGGCTTCTAGGCTGGGCAAGGAATCCTCAGTAATAATCATTTTTTGTAAAACCAAATATAGTCAAAGAAAAATTAATATCTTAGGAGACTATTGAGAAGTAAGATCTGCCTTTTGGGTTGCATGTTTAAACAAAAGTATAGACATAAAGTATGGCCATTACTGCTCCAGAAGAAAGGAAAAGGGAAAAATGGAGAAAGGTTGTAGAGACAAACACCAAAATCAGTTACCCTTGCAGAATACAGTTTCAAAGATACAATGCAAACAAAATTCTATATTTAAGAAAAAGATCAAAGGCTAAATTTTTTAACTCTTTGGGAACAATGAGTTCAAACCTTATTGCTATACTGCTCCAGTGAAGACAACCTGGTGTCTAACAGAAATAACAGCTATGCGGGTGTAGAGAAATGAGCTATTCTGATAAGCTGATCAATAGTAACTTTCTAGGAATATGAGTGCAAATGTAGCTACCCTTAGGGGGAAAAAAAGGGAAGACACTACGAGCTTTACCATGGAATGGTGGTGAGGAAGAGATAGATATACTGTATAGATCAAAATGCATAGCAATGAAAATTTCAGTATAGCAAAAAACATTTCTAAGCTTCTGTCAATGGTTCACCTATTTTAAAACAATTTAATAGAAAAAAATCCTAGTTAAATTTAAGACATTTGAATACATGAAAACTTTTGATAGCTGGATTTAACCTGAAGAGGCTCCTATCAAAATAGATAGATTAGACTAATTTTTAACCAACATTCTTCATTTCCAGAAAGGATATTGTTTTGCTGGTTGAATGGAACAATTGGTACAATTACTGCCTGGGCCTGGACACATTCCAGATAGGTCTGTGACAGGAGTCCAACAGTCAGAGTACCCCCATTCTTGGTGAAGACAAGAGCGTCCTTTCCTAGCCGCATGGAGCCTGACTTGAAACCATTACCAAAGACCCCGATGGGACACTGGCTCTTCTTTATTACTTTATCTGTAAAGCCAAAGCTGTAATTACACAAGAAAAAAAGAAGTCAGGAAAAAGAAATCAGAAAGGTAAAAGGCATCCTAAGGTAGGTGACAGGCAGAATGTTTGGCTTACAAATAAAGAACACTTGTAAAAAGTCCCTTCTTTTTTATTCCTTTTGGTATTTCTGGGCAAAACTATTAAGTTAAAACCATAGGAAATTACTGTGGGGTAATGGGACTAATTTTCCTGTGTGGTTTGTGTGTACATAAATAATTCCATTACGTTAGAGTCACACTTTGTAAATGTAAAAATGCCTCTTTTCACTGGCTTACAGAGAGATGGAGGTGGCCTTGGGCAGCTGCCTTTCTTGTCGAGATAAAACAGCTCTAATTGCTAGAAGTAAAGTTAGAGTAAGGTGAAAAGGGTGGTTAGCTAGAGAGGATATCAAGAGTACCAGATACTGGCACTGGTCAGAGGAACTAGACTAGGCATCTCCTAACCTGGTTATATCACCCTCTAGAAATCTGAAAGTCAGGGATCATATATCTTGATAATTTCAGCTCCCCACCCAAAGGATAACCCTTCCAATTCTTACTCACTGCTCCATCTGCTGGGACAGTTCACTGGACTGTGGCCAAGGGATAAAAATAGGTAGTTCTGCCTCAGAATATCAGCAAACAGCTGCAGTATAAAGTCTTTCTTGTTTCATTAAGGACCTTTCACTTAGTCACCTCAACAATCTCTGTAGCCCCTTATGATCACCTTGCTCTGGGAGGCAGAATCTTTCTCTTTTTTTATTTTCCATCCAGATACATACCAAAATAATAGAACCTAAACAATTAAAATGTATAATCTAGAAAATGATTATCTTCCTCTCATATATTCCCTCACCACTAATAAAACTAATTTTAAGGGCTGTTTCTCTGGATGAAAGGGGAAAATGAAGAGAGACTAGTGAATGGGTATAAACTTATAGTTAGAAGACATAAGTTCTAATATTTGACAGCAGACTAGGATGACTACAGTTAGCAACAACATATTTTATATTTCAAAGTAGCTAGAAGAGAGGACTAACAATGTTACCAACACATAGAAAAGATAAATATTCCAGGTGATAGATACCCCAAATACCCTGACTTGATCATTACACATTTTATACACGTAAAAAGCACTCACATATACCCCACAAATATGTAAAATAATATGTATCAATAAAGGCAAAAATAATAAAGGATTGTTTTTCTCCAGAATGACTAATTTTACAATATTGTTCTACTACTCATTCAATAAATATTTAAACTGAGCGCCTACTATATGCTATGCATTGTGCTATGCACTAGAGACATAACTGCTAATCAAAGAGACATGATTCTTGCCTTTACAGGTTGTAGTCTAAGAAAGGATTTCATATATTACAGATTAGATGCTTCTTCTTCAATATCAATAAAATACATACTCTATAGGTCATGACTGAGCAGCCTAATCTTGGCTTATACCCTTTTGAGCAGGTAGGGCTGAGATGTCTGATTTCTCCTTCCTGAAAGTTTTGGTTTTGTATATACTCTAAGAAAGGGATCACCTTTTAACTTTCTATTTCAAAGTGTCATGCAATAATGCCATATGTGCTCCTAGAACAGATACTTTATAGAAGTTTTGTATATCCCACAGATAAATCTAATGAGAAGAAGGTAATTTCCAGGGCAGTGGCTCTTTGAAAAAAGCAAAAGAACATTGAGCTCATTGCTGTCTATGGGCCTTAGTATTCCAAGAAACAGACTTATAAATTGGAAAGATTCAGGTATTCTCATCCCTCTTGTGGAAGAATTGACTAGAAAAAAATGGGGTAGTTATGAGGATTAAACTACATACCATACACAAAATATATTAATTATAAAGTACTGCTCAAACTTTAATCTTAAAATGATTCTAGAAGTCATTCTGGTCATTGTCATGTGTAATCTCCTACTTCAGATTTAATGTCACATCTAAAACTCAGGGCTCTTGGCCGGATGCAGTGGCTCACGTCTGTAATCCTAGCATGCTGGGATGCTGAGGCGGGAAAATCACTTAAGCCTGGCAGTTCAACACCAGCCCAAACAATATAGCGAGACCTCACCTCTACAAAAAAGATAAAAAGTAGCTGGGCATGGTGGCACGCACCTATAGTCCCAGCTGCTTGTGAGGCTGAGGCAGAATTGCCTAAGTCCAGGAGGTCAAAGCTGCAGTGGCCATGATCATGTCACTGCACTCCAGCCTGGGTGACAGAGTAAAACCCTGACCTAAAAGGGAAAAAAAGAAAAGAAAGGAAAAGGGGGAAAAAAGCCTCTCAGCGTTCTTCATTAATAATAATCTTAACACTTGATATGAATTTGTATGATTAACTGGACTTTAACTTTCTCTAATACCACAAAACCTTCAATTAAGTGCTCAAGGGAAAGTGGTGAAAATAGGGAGATTACTCCCTTGATTTCCCAGTCTCTTCAACCTCTTTTCCCCTTTGTAAGTGTAAATCCTTACAGTCTTACTTAGTTTGGGGAGACCAAATGACTATACATGGTTGAGACGGTAAGTAGTAGGGCAAGGCCAGAACCTGAATAGAAAAGGACAAGAATAATGAGAAAAGAGGAGTTGAAAACTCTGGATTTTGTTGTTATGTTTGACTTAACTCTTCCCATGTGCGTTTCTTACCCCACCTAACTTCCCATGTTAGGTATTCTATTTGAGTGCAGATTTGCAGAATGATTGCCAAATACTAATCAAATAACTACCTAATATAAAAACCCGTACCACACATACTAGAATTGAAAGAATGAATACTGTAAAATTTGTTATAGCTCAATAATTTTTCACAGAGCCAATTTTCTTGGCTTAGACAGGTGGTTTCTCTTTGCTAAGTCAGTCCTGTTCTAACTTCTCAGGTAAGAGACAACACTGTTTACACACCAAGGAGGCTGGAATACCAGCTTTTTGAGTGGAATCCAAAATTACAACAGTTTGCTCTTGAGTACCTTAAAATGTCAAGAATCTAGAATCTAAAGAGGTAAATTTAAATTAGGACGGTGCCCAATGAAACAAACCTTAGCAAAATGTATGGACATACAAGTGCAGGCACCGTTGTTTCCTAGATATAGTGGTGATGCAATATGCTATATAAAAGAATAAAGACTGGTAAGCAAACCATTATTCTTTGGCTTTTGTTTTAGAAGAATAGATCTACTAGGAAATGCACTTCTGAGTACAGGTAGCAAATACCTTCAATCTGTGGCTCTGTGGCTGTTCTTCTTAATCCTTGACCTTTGAAAGAAGTTTTCTAGCTTGTTGAAGAAAGCAGCTGAATATATAGACTACCTGGTTCACACACTATCTCCAAAAGCTAAAGATAAATCGTTGTGGACCTTAAAGGAATTTGATAGGCCTTTCCTTTTTAACTTGATTTTTATGAATTTTATGTTATAGAAGAAACTGTTGCTGTAGTTACACAACTCTTTTATCAGCCTGAGAACAGAAGGAGTAGCATAAAGAGTTGGAAAATGTGGACAGGGTTAACAACAAATATTAGAGGTCAAATAAAATTTCTATAGGTGCAATAATTGTTCATAATTACTGCTATTATTTTTTCCAAATACAAAGATAATGTGTCCCAAAAGGAAAAATAGAAAAATTTACAAACTTAATAATTTTCAAAGCTATCTCTAAAGTCCAATAATTAAAAAAAAAAAAAAAAAAAAAAGAAATTGTGATACGTGGAATCCTTGGTTAGAAGTTAGGATTGGACCAAATGTCTTTTAAATAAATGGTATCTTCTAGCTCATGTAAGTTTGTTTTAAGATACAATCACAAATAAAATCCAGTACATACACTACATTAAGAACTCATTAATTTTCTACAATTATTTTTTAAATATGAGGAGCAACTGTCCAGCTCAAACTGGTGGGAAACATAATTGGCATGACAGGGAAAATGCTACAGCTAAAGAAGTTTCTGCCTGTTTTCCTACTTGGAGAGGGAACAAAAGTTTGAAAGAATGATAACTCATCCTTCATATTTCAACTCAAATGCCATTTCTTCTGGTGGTCACTTTTGATTCCTTAGACTAGATTAGCTCCCTGCTATATACTCTCAAAGAAACTGTGTTCTTCCTTCATAGAACTTACCACTGGGTAGAATAGCCTATTTAGTTATATTACTAGTCAGTTTGTTTCTTATTAAACTGTCAGCCAGCTGAGAGCAAAGATCATGTCTGTTTGGTTCACCACTTTATCTCCAGTACCTTGCACATAGGTGCTCAGTAAGAATTGGTTGAATGAATAAATGAATGAATCTGGAACAAAGATCATTGCAATTACTTTGAAACCATCCTCTTCCTCCCTCCTACCATATAACTATAACCACCAACTTTCACAGATGTAGTTCCACAGACAAAATGGAAGAAAATCAGACTTGCTGGGCCCACTATTTGACACCCACATCACTGGGATAAGATGTGGTGGGAAAGAGTTGTTAAGAAGATAAGCAATTTTAGGGGAAAAGAACCCAACTAGTACATACAGAATTAGACATATAAATATTTTGGTTCCATTCTATCTAAAATTTTATTATTCTTAATATACAATATTAACTTTAAGAGATAAATCTGATGATATAAGTTGAAGGATCTGGCCAACTCTCTACCTTCACTAACATACTAGTCACATTTTTGTCTCACTTCTAGAAGCTTTCCTGAAATAGTCTTCTAATTAGAAGGGTCTGAGACACAAGGTATACAGACTGCTGAGTGGTAAAACAATTATTTTGCCCAAATTTCATTTTTGTTTGATTAATCAAGGGGCTTTCCCTACAAACAGGGTAACTGATTTAGGATACTTGCAAGGAGAACTACAATCAAATGAATTTATTTTCCATTTTTATAGTTCTGAGCCCTTTCTCTCCTCCACAGCACTCCCCAACGTTACTTGTGCTTCATACACTCTAGTTTAGGAAGCCAGATGGGGAGTAATCAGCCTCATCTGCTACAAAGGAAGAGAGAAGGAAGGAGTTGAAGAAACCCTCATCTTCCACTGAGTGATATGTTAAGATAATATAGTAGAAACTACATTCTGAACTACAAATTTTTAAAGTAATTAAATAAACTGAGATGGGCCACAGAAATCTACCACCGGCTTCTATAGTTAGAAAAGAGAATTTCCTAAGTTTGCAATTCTACTACAAAACCTTTAAAGATTATGTGTGTGAATGCCTTTTATCTTCCATGGGGCTTGATTATACCCAGGCATCTTCATGGTTCTAATACATAAGTGATCCCTACTCCAATACTTCTGATTTATAAGTTAGTTTAGGTTAATGTAAATTGGAGAAGGTCTCAGACCAGGGAAGGTCCTCAGGTCTTTACACTTGCTATTCTCTGTCTGAACTCTCATCCCTTGCTTTACCTAGTTACATTCTACTTACCCTTAGATCTCATCTTAAACATCATTTCATCTAGGAGGCTTTTCTCAACCTCTGGGATCAGATTAGGTTCACCTGGTGACTCAGTTCACGCATCCCATATTATCCTTATAACTTCTGATTAATTACTTAATTGTCTAAATCACCAGCTAGACTGAAAGTTCTGTCAGGGTAAGAACAGTGTTTGTTTCTTAACCAGTGCTCTGGCACATAAGAGCTGCTTAGTAAATATTTGTTGAATTAATAAAGTAAAAGTAAAATATTAAAGAAAAGTATTAAGCCTTAAATAGGTTGCATGAACTCAAGAGAAAGAGATTGAAAACATTTTTACCTGAGCATTCGGTGTAGTTTATGTGGTGTCATGCCACATCCATCATCAGTAAAGGTCAAACAAGATTTATTCTTGACCTCCTCAACATCTATAAAGACCGTCCTGGCAGACACATCTGGATCTACAGCATTATCTGCAAAAGGTAGAAATCTGTGATATTAGGTCCCCCTTTCCAATATTCTACTCTATCAAAATCTCTAGCTCAGTGCCTCCAAGACACAGAAACTGTACTTTATTCATTCTCCTCACTTGGATGTCCCAGAAGATGAGCAGGGAGCATTGATGGTAGTGCATTTACTGAACTATCGAGAACAACAGATATGATGGCAGATCGGGTTTTTAAGCCAATTTCTAGATTTCAAATAACTGATCTGCAATCAGCCTTTCCACCTTCAAGCTTCAGGGTCTGTGGGAAAAGTAACTACTCCTATACACAAAGCATTCTGCTCCATTTTTGTTTTATTCTTGTCTTTGGCCACTTTATTGCTCATACAGCAAAAGGTAGCTACAGAGAAAAGTTGAACTCGCAATTCTGGAAACAGTAGATACAAATTACACACATTACACATTACAGTTTATGTGTAATAACTTTATTTTCTAAATTTTTACATTACCTTTTCTGTTCAAGAACACAGATATTGCCAACATTCCTGTTTATAGCCTAAACAGCTTTGAAAGAATCAAAGGTTAAAATCAAGACATTTAATTGCCTGTTTAGATCCCAGTCATGGTAGCAAGCATACTAAGAGAAAAGGAGTGATTTTTGCTTAGGTATTGCTTAGTCTTAAAGGTAAGGCTGTCCACCCCTCACGAAATGGAAAACACTGAATTAAAGTAGAAAAAATACATAGGTTCACTATTCCTCCTGAGTTACATCTTCACAATGGATTAATTATTTAACACTCCAAAGACATCAGATATAGCTATAGCCTAACATATGTGCCATGTCCACAACCTCAGGGGCTCCACAGGCGCACATTAATATAACTGTCAATCACTGACATGTGTGACTCACTAGCTCCAGTGGAAGGGCAATCTGTACAATATGTTGGATAGGTTCCTTAATTGTTCCTGTCTCTACTAGCTCTTTAAGCAAGACAGACACCTTCCCTCCCCCCCCCAACCTATAATGCTTTACTGATACCACATGGCTAAGGTGAGAACCAGGTCAGGTCCTGGTCGTATACTTGTCCCATTAATACTGATCAAATCATGGTATTTCTCCGTTGGGAACATCCCTCACAATCAAGAGAAGCATTACATATATTCAAAATGTCTACTTTTTTAACAATAAAATTAACAGTATCAGTTACAACCACTTGGATGTGTGGAATGGCCATCAAATAAAACAAGACACAGATTAATTTCAACATCACAATGGTGTTGCCAGAGTCATTGATAAAACTGTCATTGGTTGTAACCTGAAAAACTTTTAACATCAGTACAGCACACCAATAGTCCCAGAAGGTGATAAAGAGGTCTGATATTGTGAATCTTTTTTCTTTTTTTTTAAAGTAGAAAGCCTCAAGGGAAAGTTTATTTTATATGAGTAGCAGCCACTTCTTTGCTTTTATTATTTTAATTGACACATCATAATTGTACAGTACACTGTTTATGGGTTACAGTGTGATGTTTTAATACATGTATGCAATGTGTAATGATCCAATCAGGGTAATTAGGGTAATTAACATATCTACTACTTCAAACATTTATCATTTCTTTTGTTGGAAACATTCAAAATCTGCTCTTCTACCTATTTCAAAATACACAATAAATTGTTAATTATTGTAGGGCGACACACATTCAGTAATAGCATGAGCATACTCTGGAAATGGTCCCAAGCAGAAAGCTGAAACTGGGAAGGGGTCCTTGGGGTGGGCAACCTAGGATGCCCCCTTCTCCTCAGGTTCCATGCCTGGGCACACAGGTCATGCTGAGGCCATGGGAGAAGTGTTTGCTGAGCCTGCTGACCACATCTTGCAGCTATGCACCGTGAATGTTCTTGAGTACCCTTCCTTGAGGCAGTCAGTCCTCGGGCTGGTTCAGACCAGATCAGGCACACCTGGATCAATGCCCATAACCTTCGGTTACCTTTAGTTCAAGTTTAGTTCATTATAATACTAAAACCCGCACCCCTAGAGAGAAATCGCAGTCATTTTATGTATAATACATGCGACATATGTAGAAGCACGTTCTCACACTATGCCCGCGTACTAGAAACCCTACCCTTTCACACTTAACCCTGCATTCTGCCCTATGGAACATGCTATATAACCTGTGTACCTTTTACAAATCGCGAGCGGTTTTTTCCCTGTCCAGCCAGGCGCTCCCAGACCACCTTCCCTTTATGTAAATTCATGAATAAAGCCCATGTCTCATCCACTGTCTCCAGATCATTTCTTCGGCCTCTTAAACATAGTGCCTTACTTTCTGGGGTCTGGCACTACAATTATAATTAATCTACAGTGCTACAGAACACTAGAACTTATTCCTCGCATCTAGCCATGATTTTACATCCACTGAGTAATCTCTAGTTTTCCCCCTCCCCCACCCTTCCCAGCCCCTCATTAACCACTAATCTACCCTCTACTTCTATAAAATCCATGTTTTCATCTTCCACATACGAGTGGGATCATGTGGTATTTGTCTTTCCATGTCTGCCTTATTTCACCTAACATAATGTCCTTCAAGTTCATCCATGTTGCTGAGAATGACAATCTCTTTCTTTTTCATGACTGAATAGCATTCCATTGTGTGCATATATACCACATTTTCTTTATCCATTAATCTGCTAATGGATGATATAATCAATCTTTAAGGACCCCATGGTGCCTAAGGCCCGTGTAATGTGGCAAGACAAGTGGGCTAACTTTTGGCAGGAGTTACAAGTCTGACATGCAATGGCAGCTTTATCAGAAATATAGTTCTTTACTTTGTAGGAGGAAGCAGCTCTTTTCTTTAACTGACAGAAGATTCAGCATTGTATAGCTACCTAAATTGTTTCAACAAACTTTACTTGGCAAGCAGGCCCTGAATTGTGTTGGGACTTATCAGTCACTCCTGGCAGCAGTCAAAACCACTGTGATTGATACAACCATCAATCAACTGGACATCATTTATACATTGAAGACTTTGGCTATAAAGGGAATTTTTTTCCTAACACTTTGTGAACATTCATAACTCAAAAAAAGTAACACCTCAATTGCAATTACACATTTACATAAACAGTGCATTATCAGCTTAAAAGTCTCGCCTCTCACAAAATCGCTTAAACTCTTTTCCTCTTTACTGTAAGTTTTGCCCAAACTTTACTAGGTACATTTTACAAGGACACACCAAAGAGTTTTAACACAGGCACTTCAGAAGTTAGCTACCAGGAGCATCTAGACATTTTATCTCTTTGACTGGAAGCTCATGGAATACAGGAGGGAGGGGCCACACAAGAGGCCAGGGTCAGCTAGAACAGGGAAAGAGATCAGCACCAGCAAGCACAGTTTTGTATTTACTTTCTGTTTCATGTGGCCTTTCGCTCGGCCTCAACAAATGAAATAATTAACAAGAGTGGCCTACACAAAGGAACATATGATAATAAGGCACCAATCTGGCAATTAGTTTCAATCCTACTTCTTGCTGCTTAACCCTTCAAAATTGTACCAACATCTCCCCTGACCCAGCCCACCTAGCCTAGAAACAGGCAGAACAATGAGAGAACCCTTACTCCTTTCCCTTTGCCCACCACTTAGGTGAGAGCTGCACTATCAGGTCCTGGAGTGTCTTCATCCCCTAACCTGACTGCACAGTCTCACGTACTACCAGATTCCAGGGAGTCTTATCTCTCCTAACCTACCCCATGCCATCTCTTAGTGGGAGGACCCTATCACTACTTTTACCTCACTTACCACTTAGGCAAGAGCAGAGAAACCGGATCCTGGAGAATCTAACTTACTCCCTAATATAGTCCACTCAACCCTCTTTCTTCTAAAAAAAAAAAACATTATAACTGAAGCCTCAATACCTCATCAGAACCTGGGAGGCGATGAGAAAACTTCCATGACAGCCTCCCAGGAGAGATAAGATGGCAAGTGGGAGAGGCTTTGGGGTATTCACAAGGCTCCCATCCTGTTCTGGAAGCATCTAGATGGCCTCTGAGGTCACCAGAGCTGAACTGTTGCCCTATAGGCATCCTGCAAATATCTAAAAGTATCCTTGCCTAAAGGTAAGGTCATCACTTTCTGTCACAAGCCTATTCTTCTTTTGTTACAAACACACATCCATACAATGTCAGCATTTAAATGACCACAAATTTGAAATGTAATATTCATTCTTTAATCTTTTTCCCTTGCCCTACACATCCCTAGGCCCTCTCACACCCTGCTGTCATCATTTACAAATTTATTCCTTCTCATCTGGATTATTGCAATAATCTCCTAACTAGTCTTTCAAATCCATGTCTCCAATCTACTTTATACACTGCTGCAAGATTAACTTTCTTGAAGCACAGCTCTGATCATGACGTTTTCCTCCTCAGAAAACTTTAGACTAAAAAGCTAACTACCAGAGCCTCCCAGTCACATCCTGGTCCCAGATCACCTTTTTAACCTCATTTCCTACTTGGTACTTGGAGTAAAAAGAGCTATTTGATTCCTGGATCTGCCACTTACTACACATATAACTTGAAAAGTCAATTAAATTATCTGGACCTCTGTTTCTTCATCTGCAGGATTACAAACATAATAATAATACTGCTTACCTCAAAGGGTAACATTAAAAAGGTATTTGTGAAAGTTCTTTGTAAACTTTCTAAAGACCCTAGATTTTACTATTTCTGAACTCCATGCTCTAATTGAACTCAACGACTCAGTATTCTTCATGCCTTTGTTCATGCAGTTGTTCCTTTTGCCTGGAAGCCCCCGCCCATATCCACATGTTCCAATCCTTCAAATCTCAGCTCAAATGTCACCTCCTCACAAAGCCTTTCCTAACCCTCCTCTTCCTGATAAAATGGAAGTCATTCCTCCTTCCTCTGAACTCCCACAGCACTTATTTATCTTTGCTGATATACCACTTTCTATTTTGTTGTTATACAAACCATAAACCCTCTGTACATGTTTTACCTCCCATACTAGAATAGTGACTCTGTGTTGTAGTTATTTTTGTACCTACCACAGTGGCCTTGCACACAGTGGGTGCTCAATAAATATTTACCAGAGGAATGATTCACAAGAAAATTAATACCTAAGTGGAAAAACCTACTGAAGGAAAACCTAAAATGGAAACTTTGGGCTGCCAGTTAACATTTTGCTCTTACCTTTCCCTATTATTAATATGATCACACATAGTTGTGATTTGGCTTTAAAATCTGTGTTTGAATATATGTATGCATGCATATGTATGTATAACCCACACATATACTCTCACTCATGCTGGACATCTTAGGCCAGGCTTAGGTTCTTTAAGGTCATACTTAAGACAGAAATCACACATATTCAAAATTACGAATTGAAAACTTGCTAAATCACCTACAAAGCATAGTAAGCACAATACCACATATGTAGTTATGGTGCTGGATGTTGCAACTGTGAGGGAACACCACATTTCTGTCTCCCATCCCCCACTATGTAAAATGTTACTTTTTGCTCTTTTTCTCTTCTTTTTTGTAAATTACATGCCAATAGATTGTATTCCACTCTGCAGAGGTTCACTCCCAAGCATAGGACCAAGTCTCAAAGACACAGTGCCTGTTCTCTAGGATTCAAAACATATCAATACCACCTTTTTACTGCACCTTCTAATTAAGCCATAAATACTGTAAATCATTTGGTGTTATGGTCAAACTAATCACGAAAGTTCTCTATCACTCTTATGTCCTTTCTAAATAACTTTCCTATCTCCTGTTGCCCCCTGACTTCTTGCCTAAGACAACTCTCATGGCAAGGCCACAGTGATTGCTTAAGTAGGGAGCCCTGGAACCATTTTCAAGATTTGGATCTGAGCTACCTTGCCTATAAATATTTCTTCCTTCTTTCAATTTTCGAAGTATTTGCAATGTGCTCTGTATGCTGCTACATTTTGTGCAGGATTGCTTTTGCTTCTTTGCTTTCCACACAGTTTTTAGCACACTACTGCAAAAGCTGGTTGGCTTCAAGGGATCAACCGAAAACGCTTTAAAAGCAAACACCGGTGGAGTGAGAGGTTAAGTCTTCAGTATTCATTCCAGCGGTGTGAGGGCGCTCGTGGACCACGGACCCAGCCCTCCGCAGTAGTGGGGAGCCAAATGCACTCGTGTCATCTCTCAAGAGAAGTCCCATCATTCCTAGACATTCTTGTCCCTAAAGCTAAAGAACTCCGTTTTTCAAACCTTTTCCCATGACCCTACCAGATCCTCTAACCCCTTGCTAGCTGGGCATCCTCAGTCAATCGGCAGACCCTAGGGAGTCCAGCTGCCTCGGGGCCCGATATTTTTATGCATCTCCTTTTGATTATTAACTAAGCTATCCTACAGTGCCCAGAACATCACGAACCACAGAGAAAAACTACACAGGGGTCCAAACTATTCGAGCACATCTTGTTTCCTCTGCTTTATTAGTGAAACTTCGTCCCTGGTGAGAGAACCATCCCCCTCCTCCGCCTGCAGAGCCAGGATCAGTCCTGAGGCCCCCATCCCAGCCCCGGCCCACCCTGCGCGGCTCTGCGCACTCCTCTCGCATCCGCGGCACCACGCTGGCACCACAGCCTCGGGCGATCGCGGCCGGGCCCTCCCTTGCCACTCACCTAGCAGCTCCGCGATGGCACTGAAGGGTCGCGTGTGGCTGCTGGAGTTGCTCTGTAGGTAGCGGGGGCTCATCTGGGGG